GCAACTAGGATAATATTTTCTACCAAAAATCTATGCATAATAATTCTCTATCGTCATCTGGATTAGTTGACCAAAAGTGTTTTCCGATTTAGAAACGTTCATTTATCTAATATTAAAGGTTAGAAGAATGCACGAGTTTGCAGCTGTGTATTGTGTGGGTTCGTTTTCTGAAATCAATGGTTTCACGATATGTTATTCTTATTGATTAGTTACGTAAGTTTAGTTGGTTTCAAAAGAGACTCGTGTATTTTCTACAATCTTCTCTTTTAACTTCACTTCTTGTTGTCTGCTACAAATCTTATACTAGATATTTAAAACACTTCTACTTGTTCAATCGATTTGAAATTTTGCACAGTTCGTAAAGTCGGAGACAATGCTTGAATCAATTGACAGAATAAATATTTTTAGATTTTGAAAAAGTATATAATTTTTTTAATATATACAAATTAAATTAGAAATTCATTGTACACGTGTAACATCGGAGACAATGGCCTCTTTGAAAGTGTTGTTTTTAGAAATTAATTTATAAGCGCGCATTTCAACATGTTAAATGGCATGCATGTTAATGAATATAGTTCATCTGAATTTGGATAATAATTATTGCGGATATAAAACGACAATTTTTAAAACTTCAATGCGACAAACCGTTTTTTTTATCAATTAAAATCACTTCGATACATAAGAGTACGTTTTTTATTCTGAATTCAGATGGTGAACGGCTTGATTAGAATTTAAATCACAGTAAAAACTTGATTTTCTAACGGCTTGCCGTCGACAAACGAGTTTCTTCGTTGACCTGCTCAAGCTTCTGTTTAGTGCCAAGATAGATTGCATTATTGCAAGTAGTACTTACAGTTACTGTACATAAAGATGCTGGTATCTTAAAGACTAACTTATTTAGTTATAGGAAGGAAAAAGATTTTACAATGTAAAAATGTTGTTCTGCATTTTAAAGGTTTTGAAATTACATCGTTATTTCATGGTTCGCAAGGAAACTTCATGATTAATGTTAAGATAATTTGGAATTAAAATTTTTATGTTATTGTCGAATCCCGTTCCCATTATTGAGAATAAAATAAATGTATGCGGCTGAAATGAAAACATTATAAAATTATTTTTTTTTACTATTTCAAATTTCTCATTCCCGTTTTAAAGGGCGAAAATTTTCATTTGTATTCAAATAAAAATAGATTTATTTAAAATTTATGTTTCGATTTTTGATGTAATCCCACCTTCCCAGTTCTGCAATTTACAATTCCAAATATTTTCCCAATAATAATAATGAAATTTCAGGTCCAGGTTCATACACAAGCCAAATAAATAAGTATGAGGCGCCTAGCTTGCAACATTACAAACTTACGCAAAATTTAAATAAGATTTTGACCGATATGTCAGAGTATAGTACATTTTATTTTAACAGTTAACTAAATTATAATAAAAATTATTAAATTATTATGTCAAAAATTATTAAACTCATCACCACATAATATGTTGGCGCATATTTTTCATGTTTAGACACAAATTTTTGTCTAAATTTGTTCGTTGACTGATATCTTTGCCCATTGCACTTCCTAATAACTAAATTTTCGGGATTCATTCTATTTATTGTGAATAAAAATAAAATTTGTTTTTTTTTTCTCTAAAGCATAATCTAAAACTTGTTCATTATGTAAACGCACCAGCGTCATGCAACACGCACCAGTGTCACGCAACACGCACCAGTGTCACGCAACAGGCATAGTGTCACGCAACACGCACCAGTGTCACGCAACAGGCACCAGTGTCACGCAACAGGCATAGTGTCACGCAACAGGCACCAGTGTCACGCAACACGCACCAGTGTCACGCAACAGGCATAGTGTCACGCAACACGCACCAGTGTCACGCAACACGCACCAGTGTCACGCAACAGGCACCAGTGTCATCCAGTGTCACACAACACGCACCAGTGGCACGCAACACGCACCAGTGGCACGCAACACGCGTTTTATCACCCGCCCAATAAAGTCGCATTTTGACGACTGCCGCTTGGTTCTCAAGTCACGCACTTTCCCTCGATCCGTTCTTATCATAAAATCTGGCTCTCATTTTTGAGGTTATAATTAAATTTGAACGTTTCACTTGATCGTGGCGAGTAGCCGAACGCTGCAGGTCGCATGATTTCTAATTAAACGTGACCAAAACAAGGATTTTTCGGTAGCCTCCATTGGGAGCGTAAGTTTTCCGTAGATTTTTTATCGTTTGCTCGGAACTCCATCAGGTATTTTTATGTGAGGCTATCATTACAGTTCGCTTCCATTCTCTGGACGCCCATTGCTGCAATTTCGCTGGAGTTTTTAGAGAAGTAAGGTGCTTTTTAGGTCGCTATCAAGTGGTCTTTTTGTTCGGCTTCTACTGCCGTCCCCTTATTTCGAAGTTTTTTTTCCTCGCCGACGAACACTACGCTGTTTCTTCAGGGCCAGTATAGAGTCGTGTTCGTACGTCTTTTTAGAACTCCCTATGGCTTTCCCTACTCCTTCTCCTACACCCCTTCCTTCCCCTGCGTTTTTACAACGAGTACAACGTTTTTGCCGTCAGAACGTTTTTTACGGAGCCTTCTTTCACGAGGCACTGACTTTTTCTCTCAATGAAAACGTTTTTTGGCGACTCAAAATCAGAAGGAAGTTTCACGTAACCTTTTCGTTGATCATTATCTTCCTAACTATCCTTAACATTCTCTTTATCTGCGTTTTTCCACGATAGTCTGTAAAAAAATTATATTCTATCAGCTCTAGTCGCAAAAAAACTCTTAATACCTAAACTTTAATGAAATAATTGCATGAGTGACGAGCGAAGGAAGTTCATTTATGGCGTGTCTGAACGCGGCGACTTTTGTAACGCGTGTGTCTCGGTCGTCAGTGTTGGCTGGTGAGCGATCGAGTGAGGTTGTGCGCGTTATCGCTGTGGACGTTTTTCTTGGTGAAGGCTCTGCATCCGAATTTTATAGCGGAAATTCTCCAAGATTGGACAAGAAACTTAGTGAAAGTGACATGCGGTTAACCGTATATAAAATTTTTGTAACAACCAGTGCAATAGTTGTGCAATAAATTTGATGTTTTAATTCCACTAATAAAGGCCCAAGCGCTGCAATTCGAGCATAACTTGCACTAATTTAGAAGTGTTCAGTGCCACTAAACTGCCGGCGCTCCTCTTGAAACTAATCCTGCGTCTTGTGAAACTATGCGAACTGTTGCCGTGACCTCATAAAATACCCTATCGTAACTTCCTTTACGCTTTATTATTTGTCAACGTGAAAAGTACTATTGTAAATCTCGTCAAAATTTGATGTAAATATCACGGTATAATGTGTGGGTATGTGAAGGAATATTTGAGAAACAGAACTGTACTGCTAGATGGAGACTGAGGTCGGAACGATACGTGGCCCCTGTATACTGACAGCCCTCGAAATGTATCAGGTAACATCCTTTGTTCTTTGGGTGCACATATACGAATGGTGGGATTACCGTAATCCCCGTACGGTAGTAAGATTACGGCATGCAAACAGCCAATGTCAGTCTGTTAAATATTTATAGATTTATGGCAAATGTTGAAATTTTGTGGTAAGTCTCAGCCCTGTGACGTCCTTATGATTTACGCTACTATTGCTGGTAGCTTTATCGCTAATATTGCCCCTTTAGACCCATTGTAATTGGTCTATCAGTAACCAATGCAGGATCTTTCCCGCCGCAGTGTGTGTCGTGTGAGATGGTCAGGTGCATTCGGGTCAGCGGACCGTTTTGGCTGTCCTCTTCTATTCCTTGATAAAGTTAGGGCAATTTTACAGTTTAGCAGGTATATTATATACAATTGTTTTTTGCCTGCCTATCTCTGGACGTGTCCGACGTGATCCCTCTTACAAAGGAAATAAATTCTGCAATCGAGATTTTGTGAAAAATTATAATTTATATGTGATATAGAACGAAACAATAACTGAAAAAATCCTAACAGCAGCGTCAGGGTAGATAGCTGGAACATGTTGAATGATGCTGTGAAATGTGGCTGCATTAAAACGTACCTGTCAATCTGCAGAGATGCCCAAGGTAGTTAGGTGCATTCAGGATCGTTCTGGCAATCCTCTTTCGTCGTTTGCTCTCGCATCCCTGTCAGAAGTCGTATTTAATGAAGTATTTTGCCATCCGTATTAACTGTATTGTAGGGGTAGCGCAACCTGATTTTAATTTTTAGATAATCTTACGCCGCTACTAATTGAACTGTTTACTCCTAATAATTGTTTATCAATGAATTTATTTCAACGCATCATGTTGATGAAGGTAACTTGTTCAGGCACTAATGGTTGGTGCAAGGAATCAATGAATGGTGTATGGTAACAATCACGATTAATGGGCTTGGTTTACTGACATGTGATGAGTGTGGAAATGTGATGCAGAGGACGGAAATGTGATGTGGATATGCATGACGGAATCTGGGGCTTGTACACGGGGACGCTAGTGGCGGCCAGTATATAAGAATTAAAACTACCTACCGCTACTATTTACCGAGCTATTGACCAAATGCATGGGCGCTATTGCGTCAGGAAAAGACCTATAGTTACCCGTAACACGATTTCAGTACTGCAGCATGATAGTTCGCAATTGAAATTTGAAAGAGATACTGGTCGCCACTTCTGTCCCCGTGTGCCTTCCTATACGCTTGCGTGCTGTGACTTAACCATACATGCCTGAAATATTCTCAATTTCTGTGCGTACTCCAAAATTTGTTAGTTTATTTTTTCCTCGTTGAGAATTAATTAATTAATTATGATTACTCTCAGAGACAACTACTACTATAGCTACACCACGCCGCATTGGCCTCGAAACTCAATTCGTCTATTATATTATGTATAGGCTGTGTAAGATAACTGAATCGTGCAGCTGTTACAGAGTTATGTAAAAGTCTGAAGTTTTTTCTATCATGTTTGTGCATTTTTTAGTTGTAAAATTTTTCTCTTTCTTTCTTTGCAGATGAGCGGGAAGTTGGTGACGTCAATCGAGTCCCGTTTTTGACTTGAGGGAAAAATCTTGTTTCCTGGACATCGTTGATGAGGACAAAATTTTCTGATATACACCAAATATTCGGACGTGACCCGAGCACACTTGCCTAACTCACGTCTTAGATTCATTGCACTTGAATATTTAAAAACATTTAATCAAATTCTCAATTTCTCAAATTCTCAAAATTAATTCTCAATTTTTTTAATCCTGACATTTATAAATTCAATTCAATTTTGAACTCATTTAACCGGAAATTAACGATAACAAGAAAATCATTCTTTATCACAAAACATTCCCACATTCCCAAATAGTAAAGTCTTTATCAAAATATCACTATTCAGACCGCCGGAATTCTCGTAGTGATAATCTTAATTACCACAATCAACATTTCGCAGCAGCCTGTGGGTTGAAAACACGTTTGCATAAAATCGCGTGGGTTGAAAACACGTTTGCATAAAATCGCGTGGGTTGAAAACGCACGCCGCCCCTATGCTGGTAGTCTCACCCCCCTCGCCCCCCCGGCCTTCGCTGCACCGAACCCCCAGCCCCCAAAAACCAGCAAGCAATAACAGCAGCAAGGAGGGATTCGAGAATAACAGCAAAGAAGCTCACAACAACAGCAACAAGTCCCCGGCGTGCATCACCACTAACGGTAACAGTAATAACAATAATAACATTCATCGGTCGCCCTCTCCTTCCATCGAGAGGCTTTATAATAACGGCAAAATAAACGGCACTTCGAATAAAAGCAACGGCGGCGGTGGGGCTCTTATTGAGAATAAGAGTCCGACTTTACGAGTCACAACGTCGCCCGTTATAGACGTGGGAGTTGTCAACTCCCTGTTGCTGTTGAAACAGCAGCAGTTTCTGAAGCAGCAACAGCTGCTTCAACAGCGACAGCTCTCACCGCCGCTCTCAGTCTTGCCCGCCACCATTCCGCCAATATCCGCCGCTTCTTCACCGCCAACGCAGCAGCAGCTGCACGAATATCAGCTGCAGCAGCAGCAATTGCTGCACGCTGCTTACCACCGCCAGCACAAAACTCAGCAGCAGCAGCAACAGCATCTGGAGCAACAGCAGCAGCACTATTACCCACCAACACCCAAACCTGACACCACCAGCACCACGTCCGTCACTAACACTGCTGCCACTAACACCACCATCACACCACCATACAACAAACACTCCATGTCCAGCGACAGCAGCTCATACCTGCTGCACCAGACACCAGCGACCTCTTCCACCGCCACCGCCACCGTCACCTCCGCCACCAATAACACCAACAGTAACCCCACACCCCCGCTGTCTACACCACCAACGTCCGTGGGGTTAGGCACGGCTGGGGGGCACCACCCCCTCCTGGGGTATGTCCCCCACGGCAACAAGATTCTCTCCCGCAACCTCAACGGCACTCGTGAGTACCTATATGTTTCTTTTCCTGGAATTTATATCCAAGGTTCAAAATTTATATTTGTCAACAGATTTTTGTGATATTTCTCAGCGGATAAATCCGTTTTCAAATTATACTTACATATTTTAACGCGAAGTTTCGCGATTTAATATTAATATTATTATTGATGTTGCTTAGTGTAAGTTTTATTGGTACTCATTATGTTGCATCAGCGCGCAGCGTGTGTGTGTATAGCTACATATGTTCAGAGTGGATTAATTAAGATGTACTTCGTGCATAATTCCTTGAAATCATCGAATTTTTACCAAATCCTGCCATTGAACCACTAGAACAGTGGTTCTCAAATTTTACTACGCGTACTACTTGTAGTCATGCCCGATTTTTTGTTAATTACTTTGAGTGTCGCAAAAATGTTAACTGATTAACGCAAGAAAATGTGGCAACGATTTACAACTGCTGCCTCTCCCCATACTCCTGGTCTCAGCAGTCTAATGTTAAATGCTAACAGTTCACCTACTTAATACGCTTATTATTAACGCATCAGGTACAATACGTACTAGTATTACTTCATTTTGTAGATGTGGTATAATAGGTAGTATGCGGCTACTATACCGGACCGCCAAGTGAAGTGTGATCATATAAAGTTAGGGAGACAATTCTCTAGTGGGTATTTGACTAGCGAGGTGACTAGATAATGTTTATGACTCTAGTGAGGTGACTACATAATGTTTATGACTCTAGTGAGGTGACTAGATAATGTTTGAATCTAGTGAGGTGACTAGATAATGTTGATGGCTCCAGTGATGGTGACTAGATAATGTTTATGACTCCAGTGATGGTGACTAGATAATGTTTATGGCTAGTGGGGTGACTAGATAATGTTTATGACTAGTGGGGTGACTAGATAATGTTTATGACTAGTGGGGTGACTAGATAATGTTTATGACTCTAGTGGGGTGACTAGATAATGTTTATGACTCTAGTGAGGTGACTAGATAATGTTTATGACTAGTGAGGTGACTACATAATGTTTATGACTCCAGTGAGGTGACTACATAATGTTTATGACTAGTGGGGTGACTAGATAATGTTTATGACTCTAGTGAGGTGACTAGATAATGTTTATGACTCTAGTGAGGTGACTAGATAATGTTTATGACTAGTGAGGTAACTAGATAATGTTTATGACTCTAGTGAGGTGACAGGTTTCTACCAGGAAATTACCAAAAAATTTATTTTGACGTGGCTTTAAAATAAATCTCGATTTTCCCTATTCTTTGGGCGCTCTAAAACTGCCCTCTACCCAAACGTCGGCTGAAGTTTAGGCTCTATACGTTTTTTTAGGTGAATTGCTGCTTACGAACTCGAATTGTTTCATACTGTTTTACGTACTCATACTCAAAATACTTTTCATTCTGTTCATACTAAAAAGAATTTACCCCGTGAACTTTTAGTGTTATGTGGAATCTAAAGCTTTTGTGAATATTAAAAGTTTTATTTAACTTAATTAAAATACTTTCGTGTAGGTAGAATTCAGTGAAATTATGAATTATGAAGTAATTGAATTATGAATTATGAAGTAACGCTCGTTGTCTTTTTTGTTCCATTCGGCTATCGCACCTGCGTTCGTAGAGAAATCAAATAATTTTTTATATCCAATTTCCGTGGTACACGAAAAAAATTATTTAAAGTTTCGTATCACCAGATTACCAGGCGTAATTTTTCTGCTTTGGACATGTTGTTCAATTGATTAATTATTAAAACTCAGTAATTACCTTGTTTATTCTTTTTAATATTATCGAGATTTTATCGCTCGTTAATGAAGTTCATTCCTGCAGACGAAATAATTATTTTCTCTCTAGAAGTTACGATAGACTGAGCAGAAGTCAAAATTCAATGTTAACTTTTTTTAATTTCTTAATTATCATGCGTTGTAAGGTGAAGAATGATTTAATGAAGACAGCTTCATTTTTGTGACTCGCAACAAAATATTTTTTAACTAACTTGTCTAATATTAAACATAAGCAGATCCGCATTCGGTGTCGGTACAACATAAGCACGTATATCGTTCACCTTGCATGTGGGCATAGGCTTTTTTGTGCAATTTTTTCACCATATGGGCTGCGGTTAAAGTAGAAAATTATTCCTAATCATTTTACAATCGATCTCGCATTACATGTTTAACATGAAACCTGCTCTTGAGGTTGCAGTATCAAAACACGCATAAGTACACGTTGCGGCCGGTTTCTCGTCTGTGATTGGTGGGTTTATCTTAAATAGCCATCATTGATTGGCTGACGGACTTACGAACTCTTACCCATTTTCGATAGAAATTCTTCTTGAACGGCAAATTTAGAGACACGTGGCAGTTAGTGTCATGATCACGTAGCTGACGTGGCCCGCGGTCTCACGTGCTAACCGAGGAATTTGTTTTATTATTTGCACAACACAGCTATAAACTTGGGTCATTCGCTTTATAACTTGCACTACGTTCCGCTTCACTAATGTAATTCATTTCATGGCTTGTACTGCGCTGCTCTTTTTGCGCTATTAATGATACTATTGCACTATTTCTGGCACTATTGCACTGTTTCTGGAGCTATTGCAGGCACTATTACACTATTTCTGGCGCTATTGCAGGCACTATTACACTATTTCTGGCGCTATTGCAGGCACTATTACACTATTTCTGGCGCTATTGCAGGCACTATTACACTATTGCATTGTTATTGTCCATATTACACTATTGTTGTCCATGTTGCACAATTGATGGCTTTATTGCACTATTGCACGATAGTTGTCCATATTGCACTATTATCACAAACTATTACTGGCACGCTGCACTATTTATTCCACTATGTACGTACATCCGTATAATCTTTTTACAGACGTTCTGGCTTTGCCGTTTTCGTGTCGATGTTTATTGCTGAATTTAATTAAGACAAACAAACCCAAATATTAATAATGAAAATGGTTCCAATGCATTCATACATATTTCTGATTAGTAATGTAGTAAAGATTTAAGTTACTTCAGTAATGTAGATGTAGCTTAAGCTACTTATAGTTGTAAAAGAGGCCTAGCGACTCGCGTTTTATTTGAATCGGGAAGTTCTTGCATGATGATCGCTATATAGTACGTCATGTTTATTAATCGTCTTTTTTATTAATAATTTTTGTAGATGCTTTCTTGTACCAGCCATATGCGTGCACTTGTACGATTAACTTCTCTCCCCTGTACCAGGCTGTAAAAATTGAAAAAAATTAGCAGAAAACTTCCTTTCAAACACCACACTTCGAGAGGAACTTTTTCCACCTTCCCCACTCAAGTTGTCTCGTCACGAAAATATTTTTTTGCTCCCGTCAATTTCTTATCCTTGAGAAAAAATTGCTTATAAGACGTAAGCGTATATTTTTGTGTAGTTTGTGTTGCAGTGGAAAACTCGCGGCCTTTTTTGAGTCCTTGCAGCCTGAGTATTTTTTTAAGCTCCCAGCACAACGCGCTGGGAATGTATTCTGTTATTTTTAAAGAAAACTCGTGAATACAATCGAGTTTTCCCATGACATTTCGGAACTAACCATATCTTTTTTATTGCTTGTGGCGAAGTGTGACCTCAACGAAGAAGTTTTTACACATTTAACAAAGTTTATATTCCTGACTGCGAAATTATTTGAAACATCGCCGTTTGCGAGGCTTGTATTAGCAGAAAATGTTCCCTCAAAACCCCCGGAAACAAGACATCTACGATGCCAGTGTTGATGCAATTAAAGAGACGTGATATTTGTGGACTGAGCTTATACGTGGGAAAAAGAACAAATTTTACACAAATCATGTGATACTCTAGCGTTGATGGCGTGCTAAACGCGTGTATCAATGAGTGCTAAACGCGTGTAATGGTTCACGTAGCCGGATGAGCCGGCTACGTGAACCGTTAAACCGTACGTGAACCGTAGCGAACCAAACTTGCGAACCGCAATGAACTAAAGTATCCTTGCCCGTGTGGTTGTACTGCGTACAAATCACAATCATCAACTAAATTTATGATTGTTGGTGGGATCATTTTCGGCAGGCACTGCCAATTCACTTTTTAAAGAATACCGCTAAGCCTGCTTGCAGTATAAGACCGTTGAGCTCCTAGCTGAAGGTTGCATCCTGAAAGCCTTTTTATGGTTTGATTGTTATGTTCAGCGAGTTCGATGGGTCCGTTCTTCGAATGTGCGCACTTGAGTCACTTTTTATCCTGTATTTTTAGTTTGTATTTTGCCTGGAGTGAACATGTCATTTATTTCCAGCTCCAGACACATATTCCAGCAGCGGACGCGCTTCGGTTTTACGCGTATTTTACGTAAATTTAAGGCGTGTTTTACGTTCGTCTTACGCGGGATTTACGTCAGTTTTAGTGGAGGTGGGATGCGTGCTGCTGCTCTCCATATGTATCTGGGGGAACTTTTACTTCTCTCTGCCCCCTTTGGACAAAATTTTTGTACTGCAGCTACGTTGATTGCTCGTACTGTGAGACTTGCTTCTTGTTCTACTGGCTTAGGACCCATTTGAGACACATTTGAAACACATTTGAAACACATCTGAAACACATTTGAAACACATCTGAATCACGTTTGAAACACATTTGAAACACATTTGAAACCCCTTGCCTTAGAAACGCATTCAACCTATTTCTGGGGGAATGCAGTTCGAATAACTTGGTCGTTGTACGGTCAAACAGTTGCTGCATTTGCTCTCTCAGCTCTCAGTTCGCTTATTTGATTTTATGCCTCTAATAAAATTCACTCGTGAAACTATATATACCTTTTCACAATTATTATGACCACAAAACTTTTGCATGCAGCAACACAAGCTATGAATTAACCTAACTAATATCAGTTGTAGAAAATATAATGCTTATCAGTCAAGACGAGCATGGACTTGGGGAAAAAGTCCCTCGCTATATAAAATGTGTGTGTTTTGTGGTCGCCGCCGTGCGCTCGGTTATGAAGTAACTCGTCGT